AGGGTTTCACCATGGTGGTCAGGCTGGTCTTGAACTCCTGACCTTGTGATCCGCCCACTTCGGCCTCCCAAAGTGCTGGGATTACAGGTGTGAGCCACCACACCTGGCCTAATTTTTGTATTTTTAGTAGAGACAGGGTTTCACCACGTTGGCCAGGCTGGTCTCAAAACTTCTGACCTCAGGTGATCCGCCAGCCTTGGCCTCCCAAAGTGCTTGGATTACAGGCATGAGCCACCACAACCCGACTGAGTTTTTCAGTATCATGTTATAGGAACTATCACCCCCAAAATCTTAGCTTTTCCTCCAGACTGTTACTTTTTTAATAAGACAAACAGGTTTTTTAATTACAAATGCAAAATGGGAAAGAGAAATTACTGTTTTTACTAGCATTATAGGAAGTTAGAAATAGGCCTGGGTTGGTACCACAGTGGCCTATCCCTGTAGCCACTTTCATCCTTCATTCCTCCTCGCCAGCTACGGGGGAGGCTGAGGCAGAGGTTGCAGTGAGCTGAGATCGAACCACTGCACTCCAGCCTGGGTGAAAGAGTAAGAGTCCATCTCGAAAAAAAAAAAGAAATGTAATCCCCAGTGCTGGAGGTGGGCGGAGGTGGGGCCTAGTGGGAGGTTTTTAAGGACCCTGGATGTGATCTGGACCTTCGGTCATGGGGGCGGATCCCTCATGGGTTGGTGCTGCTCCTGAAAGTAGTAACTTCTCCAAGATCTGGTTGTTTAAAAGTGTGTGGCATCCCCTGCCCAGCCCATGTCTCTCTTTTGCTCTTGCTCTCACTGTGTGATATACCGGGTCCTACTTGGCTTTCTGTACTGATTGGAAGCTTCCTGAGGCCTCACCAGAACTGAGCAGATGCCTGGTGCCATGCCACTGTACAGCCTATGGAACCATGAGTCAATGAAACTTCTCTCTATAAACTACCCGGTATCAGGTATTTGTCTATAGCAACACGAGAACAGCCTAATACCTTCCAAGTGAAACCTATCTCTCTACAGAAGATGCTACTGTTTTTAAGATGGACTGCCCCTTCAACAGGTGCTGCTTAAATCAAGGTCAGTATCTCCCCTGAGCTTCCCAGTCTAAGTTTCCTAAAGCCTGGAATCCTTTGCTGTCAGCCCTGAAATACGAATACTATGAGTGCTTGTCATCCCTCATTCCTCCTCACCAGTTGAGGAGCTGTTCTGGTGCCAAATCCTGGACAGAGTAATAAGAGAATGAACTTGAAGTTGTCCAGGGCCTGATTACCCAGATCTACATACCTGACTACATTGAACTACAGAGAAGTCCACCAAAAACCTAATGGTGGGAAATTACCGTTTTACCCTGATTTATTAATTACAAGCATATTCATCTGGTCTAACATGCAGCTGACGCCAGTTAACATTGTATTAAGTCCCCTGAACTAAGGTAGGCTAAGGTTTGATGAATTTCCTGGCAGTATCACTAGTAGAGCCTCATTATCCTACAGATAATTACTCAGTTAAAAAGTTGGCCGGGCGCGGTGGCTCAAGCCTGTAATCCCAGCACTTTGGGAGGCCGAGGCGGGTGGATCACAAGGACAAGAGATCGAGACCATCCTGGTCAACATGGTGAAACCCCGTCTCTACTAAAAATACAAAACATTAGCTGGGCATGGTGGCGCATGCCTGTAATCCCAGCTACTCAAGAGGCTGAGGCAGGAGAATTGCCTGAACCCAGGAGGCAGAGGTTGCGGTGAGCCGAGATCGCGCCATTGCACTCCAGCCTGGGTAACAAGAGCGAAACTCCGTCCAAAAAAAAAAAAAAAAAAACGTAAAATCCCCAGTCTTAAAGTGTGTATGGATGACCCCAATTTATTTATTTTTTTTTTCTTTAAATTTTTTTGAGACAAAGTCTCACTCCACTCACTGCACTCAGGCTTGAATGCAAGTGGCAAGATCTCAGCTCACTGCAACCTCCACCTCCCAGGTTCAAGCAATTCTTGTGCCTCCACCTCCAGAATAGCTGTGATTACAGGTGTGCGCCACCATGCCCAGCTATTTTTTTTTTTTTGTATTTTTAGTAGAGACGGGGGTTTCACCATGTTGACCAGTATGGTCTCGATCTCTTGACTTCGTGATCCACCGACCTCGGCCTCCCAAAGTGCTGGGATTATAGGCGTGAGCCACCGCGCCCGGCCCATGCCTGACTAATTTTTTGCATTTTTAGCAGAGACATGGTTACACCACATTGGACTGGTCGTGAACACCTGACCTCAGGTGATCCACCTGCCTCCGCCTCCCAAGATGCTGGGATTACAGGCGTGAGCCACTGCACCTGGCCCATTTTTTATTTATTATTTTTTGAGACAGAGTCTCACTCTGTCACCCAGGCTGGAGTGCAGTGGTGTGATTTCAGCTCACTGCAACCTCCACCTCCCAGGCTCAAGTGATTCTCCTGCCTCAGTCTCCCAAGTAGCTGGAATTACAGGCATGCACCACCATGCCTGTCTAATTTTTGTATTTTTAGTAAAGACAGCGTTTCATCGTGTTGGCCAGGCTGGTCTTGAACTCCTGGCATCAATTGATCTGTCTGCTTTGGCCTCCCACAGTGCTGGGACTACAGGCATGAACCAGCACGCTCAGCTGACACCAATTAAAAAACTGAAAAACAATGAACATGGCTTTCTTCTAGAAAAAAAAAGTGGTTTTTGGTTTTTTTTTTCAGTTTCACTCTTGTTGCCCAGGCTGGAGTACAATGGCAATGGCTGGCTCACTGCACCCTCTGCCTCCCAGATTCAAGCGGTTTTCCTGTCTCAGCCTCCCAAGTAGCTGGCATTACAGGCGCATGCCACCACACCCAGCTAATTTTTGTAATTTTAGTAGAGACGGGGTTTCATCATATTGGTCAGGCTGGTCTTGAACTCCTGACCTCAAGTTATCCATCTGTCTCATCCTCCCAAAGTGCTGGGATTATAGGCGTGAGCCATTGTGCCCAGCTGAAAAATCTTAAAAGACAAAGTTCTGAAGGTTAGCTGGCCTTCCAGGCAGGCTTCTTCCACTAGTGCACTGACCCAGTTACTGGTCTCCTAAAGCTGCTGTGCTTGGAAACGTGGATACTATTGAGTCTCTTCCATCACATTATACTTTATTCAGCTAGTAATTATGAATATGAGCTCAGCTCTGCAGAAAACAGAACGGAATGGTCAGCAGTCATTCTCAGGGAGTCTGCTCCCCTGGTGTCCAGAGAAGAGAATATTCCCATGTCCCAAAGCCAGCTTTTGCTGGTTTTCCCAATCAAGTTTAGCATCTAAAAACCTTCATGGCTAGGTGCAGTGGCTCTCGCCTCTAATCCCAGCACTCTGGGAGGCTGAGGCAGGTGGATCAATTGAGGTTAGGAGTTCAAGACCAGCTTAGCCAATATAGCGAAACCAGGTCTCTATTAAAAATAGAAAAATTGGCCAGGTACAGTGGCTCACGCCTGTAATCTCAGCATTTTTGGAGGCCGGGGCCGGTGGATCACCTGATGTCAGGAGTTCAAGACCAGCCTGGCCAACATGGCGAAACCCCGTCTCTATGTCTCTACTAAAAATAAAAGTTAGCCGGGTGCAGTGGGCACCTGTAGTCCTAGCTACTTGGGAGGCTGAGGTAGGAGAGTCACTTGAACCTGGGATGCGGAGGTTGCAGTGAGCAGAGACAGTGGCATTGGACTCCAGCCTGGGCAACAAGGGCAAAACTCCATCTCAAAAAAA